TCAAAATGAATAGTTTAGTTCTGCCCACAGATTTCTGTCCCTCCTTGGACTTTATCATAATGCAAAAGACCAGAGTCTCTGAAATTTTAATTCAAGAATGATAATTTGAGAACAAGGCTAGCTTACTGCAGAATAACTTCAAGATACGCCAAGAGCCTGGATGTATGCTACTCCTAGATTCCTTAGGTAAAACAGGAAGAGAAAGAAAAAAAAATCAGATAATCTCTGATACTTCACTGTACTCATACTCCCCTCTTCTGCTTCCAGACTAGAAAGGTGATTGGCCAGTGAAGCTGGTTGCTGGAGCCATCACTTGAAGCTGCTTGAAATGAAAGAGAGGGAATTATGTAGATTATCCTGGAGTTCTTCCTTCAAGGGGCTCCTACTGGAGAACAAAATGAGGTTATGGACAAAGCTTTGGGAAAGAAATGGGAGTTTGGGAGGTGACAGGATGATGAACTTAACCCGCTGATACCTTCTAGTTCTGGGAAACTGATGAGGAATGCCTGGCCTTTGGCCAGATACTGTTCCTTACCCCTACTCTAGCCAATATGTTTTAAATGATGGTAAACATATGTGCGTGTGTACGTGTACACATAAAGATTCCAATATTCAATTTATTTTTACTCTTGTCTCTTTTAAATATGTTCAGTTTCAGATATTTGGGCTGCCATCTAGTGTTTGAAAGAAAAGAACTATTTTAGGCGCATTGTCTTTTTCTGCCAATTTAGTTGTACTGATGAAAAAATAGGGATAACAAAAAATAAAAGTTATTCAAGTATAGACCGGCTTTATTGCCTTTTTTTTTTTTTAATGTTTGTTTTCTTTTTGCACACTCTTTGTATGCAGCAGGAGTGGGAAACCTATAGGATTCTAAATGTTGTTAAAGCAGAGTTTCCAGTATCTTTCAACACTGATACTACTGACTGGGACTTGAGGTCACGGATTTCACAATACTGATATACAGAAATCAAAGTGGTGCTATGATACTGAATATTTTTTAAAAATGTCTGTACTTACTGAAAACCAGTACTCAAATTCAATAGTTATAATATTGCAAATAAAATCAATGTTCATAATCTCTATCATTGTGCACTGTTCATTTTGTACAATTATGGAAGAAGAGAGGCAAGGAGTTAAAAAGACACTGATCCCTTTCTCCCCAGAAACGTATGTCAACAATCCATCTGACTTTTGATCAATGGCCTTTCTCTTTCAGTAATTCCTTCCAATATTTATCTGTTTCAGAACTAGTGTTTGAAAGGGACACAAATCCAAATTCCTCAACCATGTAAATCAATTTGCAGCAAAAGGATATTAATATTTACTGTATATAGAAACAAAACGTTCTGTTTATATTGAGGCTTATTTCCTGGTAAGTGTGCATACAACTGCAGCCTGCATGACTTTCCACATGTCATTGGGCATGCTTGTATGAATATCTCCTCATATTTTATTGGGGGGAAAAAAACCATGCCACTTGTATCTATGAAGTGGCTGTACACATACACAGATCTCAGATAAAGAGATCTTGGACCAATCATATATTCCTGTCCTATCTAATTCAATTATTTTCTGTGAAAATCATTATTGTCACATATAAAATTGTACCACTTTGTATGCAAAACATTGGAGTCCAAGTACTGAGTTTCCATCTGTAATGGAATGTTATGTATAGGGCAATGTTAGTTTGAGAACCAAATCAGTTTCAGTTTCTTTCTGGCTAGGGATATTAGTTATTGTATTACTTTGTCTCCTTATAATCTCAGTGGATATTACAGTATTTGATCATACTGATACTATCTTAGCTTCTGCCCATTCACTTCCACCATGCAATGCCATATAATAACAGGAGTGTTGTGAACCACTATATCTCAGATTGATTCCATTATAAGCCATCACCTAAGCTTCATAAAAATCACTGTTTAACTTGCGATATGGGAACAAAAATTGCATTTACATTAACATTTGCCTTGAAGTTTTTTAAACCCCCACACCTTTGGGCTCATTTTTGTTTTGTTTTTTGCTTTATGCCTTTTACTTCTTATATATGACTGATGTTTTTCTTCTTTTTGCTTATGTATTCAACACATTTTTAAAAAATTAATGTTTTTTTAACCCGAAGACATACACACACCTACTTGAAAGATTAGTTACATTGTTATGTTTACAGATTTAGAGGCAGCATTAGCTTAACTTGTTGATCCTGTGATGGTCCTGTTGGGCGGACCCTTAGGATAGGCAGTTGACCCATAGGATGTCCAGCTTGGAGTGATTTCTTCTGTGTGTCACTTATCTTGTTCTGTTCAGTGTTCTTGCACACATTTTTGACTGACATGATTATGCTAAGCCATTGTATAGTTTGCTTGGTTTAGATGTAATATGCTTAGTACAAAATGCAGGTCCATAATAAAATCATATTAAGTCACTGATTTTGGATATCATTGTTTTATGAGACTCTGGAGAGATAAGCTAAGGAAGACTGAACCAAGTCCTCCTGTAGCTGGGAGGGGACTACATCATGATCCAACATGTATTGTCAAATGCATTCAATGTTCAGTTTCTTTCCAAACTGCTCACCTACCTCGTGGTATTATTTATCCCCTCACTTTCCTACGACTGTGTTACACTGAAAAAGAATGTCATATATTCCATCCAAACCTGTGTTCTTATCTAACACTTCAACTGCAACGGAGATTTTTAATGTTTTTAATACTACATTTAAAAATATAAAAATAAAAAAAATAATTTTAATTAATAGATGAGGAACGGATTGAAGAGCATGTTTCCTTCTAGAAGCATTTGGCAACGTATCAGCTACTACACTCAATTTAAAAAAAAAAATTAAAAAATGACCTTAAGCATGGGACTCGGCCATTGCCCATTATTAATATATGTCCCGTTATATTTTATGCGCGCCCTCTTCCACGGGAGAAGCAATACGAGCAAAGAGCATTCTATAACGGCCGTGGTTTTGGGAGCTTCAAAAGCCAAGTCGGAGTCGCCGCTTTCGTTCTGCGCAGGCTGCGAACGAACTTCCATTCCTGCGCAGAACCTACGCTCCGCCGAAGTCCCACGGACACCTCCCAAGCTTACCCATAATACCACCTCTCTTCCTCCTCCTCCCCAGCTGAGAGCTTTTCAGCCACCGCCCTCCCGCTCGGCCCAGCTACCATAGAGATTACTGAGCGCAAGTGGACGCTCTGGCTCTTTGACTCGGAAAAACTCTACGGTGGGTGGGCTTTGCAGGAAGAGTCCTGAAGGAAATTGAGGGCGGCGGCTCTAATCGGTAAGGGAAGGAGCGGGGGGCAGGAGGGTACGGGGGGCGGGCGGCGTTGTATGTTGGGGCAGGCAGGAGAAGCTTTGGCTTCCCGCCTCCCTCCATCTCAGCTCTTCAAAGCCAGAAAGCAGCTCCAGAAAGAGAGGCGACGTTGGAAAGCCGCGTCCCCCTCCCTGCTCTTGGTTCAAAGCTCGATGTCTCCGCTGCTGAAGGGAGAATGAACCTCCTGGAATAAAAGAAATAGAAGGTGGCGGAGAAGGCTTCCCCCTCCCCTTTTATGATCACTGCACCATCTCTGCTGGTAGCGAAGAAGCAAAAGGGGACGGGGCTGCCCCCCGCCCCGCTTCCCAGATTCGCTCAAGAGTCCTGGGAGCAGACTAACTCCTCTCCCTCTCAGACGATCCTCCCTTGAATGCCACTGAAGGGTGTATATCTACCTGCATCCTGTGTATGCAACCGCTATAGGCATGGAAGGTGTATTCCTAGATGAATCTGACACTTATAAGGATAGTTTTTTGTTGTAAAAGAACTTCAGGTGATGGTGCAAACTCTTGTCCCGTGACCTGTGGTCAACTACTTGTCATCCTCTTGCTAGTCTGTGTCTTACAAGGTGGTTTGCCAGATGCAGCTTTTCTTTCCTGAAAATGTTTGGGTCACCCACAGCATTGACAAACTGCAAGGGGTATGGGGGTCTAATACCATTTGAGTTTGATACGTCTTTTTAGCAGGCTTTATTATGCTAAGCAGCTGTTCTTTCCCTGGACATTTCCCAAAAGTACCCTTCCAGAGATGTTACTGCTGTGTTGAAGGTGAATTATTAAAGAGGAATGACTTGTGCCAGAGTAGGATGGAAAATCACAGTATTGGAAGAGTTTACTTACTGAAGAATGATTGTGGAATTTGAGGGTGTTGTCAATATTTCTAATATGACTTAGCTAATTACTGAGTCATATGTTTATTTACTTTGAATCATTATCTTGTTCTTACACGCATATGTCATGCATTTCTTGGTTGATCATAATGTTTTTGTGCTTAATAATGTTAATTTGTGCTTATATTGAATGTATGGCATATCTTGCCTCGATATATGATGCTGAATCTGAGGATCTTTTAGCACTTTCCTAGATAACAGACCCTGTGTTTCTAGTGAATTCTTTTTCTTTTTTGCTTTACCAGTATATTTTTAAGACGAGCTTTATACCATGACACAATTATTAATTTGATGAATTTCCTTATAGGCCTGTCTTCTTTAAGCTAGTGCTCTCCATGTATTGGAGCTGCAACTTAGCATTTGGTCAGGTTTACTTGGAATTTTGAGAGTTGTGTTCCCAGCATATGCTGTATGGTTGGGGAAGGCTGTTCTAGGTGAAGAACAAGTATAATTTCTCTTAGAAAATCTTTGTTTACTATAGAATCTGCTATAGATAATAAAGTGATGCTCTTTTCTTTTTCTGTTCCAGGTAATATTATGAACAGTGATGTTTGTTTCTAAAATAAGACTTTTTTGGAGGGAAAGAATTTATGGACAATCTCTGCTTTTATAAGTAATGTCAATTCAATTTCTTTTAGATAAATATGTGTACCTAGTATTTAGTACAAAAAGTCTTTGGAGTGGACAGAGGACTGGGCAACTGCACTACTTTTACAGACCCAAGCTTTTTTGGAGGATAAGCTATGCTTCTCCTTTTAGAGTGTTACACATAAGCAACCAATACTATAAATGGACCAGAGGCAAAACGCAGGGGCAGAAGAAGTACCTGTACTGCCATTATTGTTTGGGTTACAGAATTTCTAAATTTAGCACTTCTAAGGAATTGACAAAAAACAGTCGCATGTCACGATTGAAGAACACTTTAGAATCTGTCTCAAAGGCTGTGTCTGGCACTCACAGTGAACTAGTTTCACGACTAGCTCGTCTAAAACCTCATTCTGCTATACTGAAGAAATCACTTGAAACTGATGGGAAGGAGAATAGCTTTTTTATGACCCCAGAAAAATACAGAGAAGTCACAAGTTATGATGATAACTCACATGAGAAGAAGACTGTGTCTGCAGATGGAGTCTTAGAGTCAGTCAGTACTAGTCAATACTCTTTGAAAGATCCTTCAGATATCAAAAATAGTCTTTTTCATGTTAGCAAATTTGCTACAAACTTTGGGGAAACATACAACTTTGTAGCCCATCACATCAACTGGTATTTTAGCACTGTTGGAATGGATCAAGAGAAGAAAGGGGATGCTCTCCCCCCTAAACCACCCAATCAGGGTGAAGAAACATTTGATTCATCAGAACAGGACATATTAAGTGATGAAAACAGGATGAATGCAGTATCTGCTTTAATACCTGCCTCGCAGTCACAAAATGCTGGAAAAGTCAATTCTGTTCCTTCAACTTCCAGCAAAAAGGGTATTTCAAGTTTTCTTTCTTACCCTAGTAACAGTGTACAGGCCTTTGTAGATAGTTACATTGGAGGATTGGTACCTAAGTTACGATCTGAAACAAAATGTGCTGTACAGGAAAAGACCAAAGAACAGGAACAAGAGGACATGTTAAAAGATGACAAGGAAGCTAAACGTGCAGAAGAGAAAGAAAAGAGATTATGCCTGCAAAGAGAAAAGGTACATGTCTTTCTTGTAGATAAAAGTTTAGAAACCATTAATTGGCAAGCATTGAGGAACAGGTTTTATCAAAGGCAGTAAATTGTAATCCCCTCTCATCATTGTTATTTCAGGGGAAACTCTCAAATAAATTTACAGTCCCTAATGTATAGATTGGAGTGGGAAACCAAGTCTCCAAATGTTGTAGACTTCAACTTCCATCAGTTTAAGCCAACATGGCAGATAGCAAGAGCTCATAGTCTTGTATTCCAAAACATTTAGGGGATCATCAAGCTGCCTATTCCTGGTATATTTAGAGCTGTACAACTTCACTCACAGTTACATGACAATATTCATGGTAAAAGATATATATTTTACCATGAACATTTACTGTTATAGCTTAAAATAAGTGAGGACAAACAACTTATTTGAGGTGATTTTGTATTAAATAGGATAGACTGGCATCATCCTAGTCTACAGAAAGTGCTACCTATGCATATGTAAAAAGTTCATTGTTGCACATCAATATATTGAGAATGGAAGATGATCCATTATAAACTGATTTATAAAACCAGTCTTACTTGCTTATTTCAAGGCAGTCTTTAGTCATCAGAGATTGGCTATTTTGAGACCTGAGTAATTCTGTGTTACTGTCAAGCCTAGCCCAAGGAACTCCAAGAGACAATGCCAATTCAGTCCAGCTATGTTTATTAGCT